TGGTGGAAAATGGGTGTCACTCCACTGAAGTTGAAAGCCTGGGACATGAGTGAGAACAGAATCAGGTCCATGCCAGGTCTGGCCTGGCCAGCAGCAGGAGCGCCCCGAGACAGCTGTTCCCAGCCTGAGAGAGGTAGCAATGCAGCAGCCAAACTGTCCTGGTTGTAGAGTGCTAGGGGTGGTGAGAGGAGACAGAAGAGCACCTGCAGTGGTGGATGGGCAGCAATGTTCTCTTTATTTTTTTACATTCCCGTGCAGAATAAATTTTTTCCTGTGCACCAAGGTAGGATCAGATGTGCACCATCAGTAGAAACACATGTTGCCAACAGTAGGTGCTCTGCGAATGAGCTGGGCAGCATTTGAATCTCTCCAGGGTGCCCAACCGCTCAACTTACAGGGAACACTGGGTAGCACGTCCATCTGCCAGCTGGAAGAGGGCACAGCTGTGACCCCATCATGAGTCCTTGCTGCAGCAGAACTCCAGTGGGAGTGTCACCCAAGCCCAGCAGCAGGCTGAGAGCCAGGGGTGGACTCAGGACATGCTGGTGCAAACTCATAGCTTTCACTGGCAGGGCCATTCTGCAGGGCTCCCCCAAAAGGGGCTGGGACCCTTCAGGTCAGACAGGGGTCAGTGGCATGCAGCAAGCTGGGGGGTTACAGGGTGCTCCTGGGGTGGGGAGCCAGGTGCGGATCTTGCATTTCACTCTCTTTCTGGTTCACTTCTCCTTCTTTGGGCAGCAAGCCCTGGTGATCCGGGAGGGCGAGAAGATCCAGATCAACGCAGAGAACGTGGTGGTGGGAGACCTGGTGGAGGTGAAGGGGGGAGACCGGGTCCCTGCTGACCTGCGCATCATCTCCTCCCATGGCTGCAAGGTACGGATGGCGAGGCTGTGCCACGGGCTGGCACGAGGGCCCCATAGGGCAGAGGAAGGGGAGGCGTGGCTGGCTGTCAGGCAGCCTGTGCTGCTCTGTTTGGACGCACGGAGAGAGCAGACAGGCCAGCTGGACAGAGGGATCCCAGGGGCACCTAGCTTTGTCAATCACACATGAAAAAGCTCATTCAGCCTTGTTGGTCTCGTGGCTCTAGGAAAGCTACCTGCAGGGCCATAGAAGGGGATATTGGTACCTGGTTTTGGGGGTGCTGTGGCACTCCCCTGGGTCTCTATAAAGACCCCCACAGTGGGAGGCATGTAGGTGGGTCCCGGCTCCTGTCTGATTCCCATGGGCAGCAGGCTGGGTCAGGACAGCCTGGGGGAGGTTGCAGGGTCTCAGCCTGGGTGAGTCTCCAGGTCCCATGTGAAGGCAGGGCTCCCTGCTAGGATGGAAAGGGAGATTGTGCTGTCCCTGTGTGGCCAGCCACTTGAGGGAGTGGCATTGGCAGCCCAAGCCCAGGCACTCTCGGAAACCCCCAGTCCTCCTTGAAAGGGGCCCCAACTCCTGCCCTACACTGGTAACCACCCAGGATCCAGCCCTCCCCTCACTAGCTGCTGAACACCCGCCCCCACACACACACTTTCATCCCCAAGCCCAGGTGTCCACATGCTCCACCCTCCCTCCAGCAGTGATGCTGCCAGCAGCGTGGGGTAAGGGCCCCCGCCGTCAGCCCAGGCGTTGCTAGAGAGGCCCATGTGAACTATTGCAGGGCTTGGGGGCACTCGAGGAGTGGGACATGGGAGCCTGAGAGTTGGGCGGAGTGGGGGGGGGGGCAGGAATCTGTCTGTCAGTCTATTAGGGCTTATCAGCTGATGTCAGTGAGGGAGACAGGGGGCTGACAGTGATGGAGGCAGACAGCTCCCGTGCTGTTGTCTGTCTGTCTCCTCCTCCCATCTCTGTCTCTCGTGGGCCCCTGTTGCCTCGGCAGGTGGATAACTCCTCGCTGACGGGCGAGTCGGAGCCGCAGACCCGCTCCCCCGAGTTCACCCATGAAAATCCCCTGGAGACCCGCAACATCTGCTTCTTCTCCACCAACTGCGTGGAAGGTGAAGGGGGGAGGGGGCCTCCCAGTCTGCCGGATTTAGGGTCTGTCCCTGGATCTGCAGGGCTGTCCATGTGCCCCGCCCCACCCAGGCTCTGATTATAGAGCATTGCAATGGGAAGGGGCAGGATGAGGGGGTGGGGACCAAGCCAAGTGGAATTTAAATGGCCCGACCGAGCTGGGGAAATGAGAAGGGTTTTTACTCCCCAGGGCAGCCTAGTCCCAATATTTCAGTGGTAGGGTGCCTGTGTAGGTGCCAGGTCATGATGCTAGGAAGGTCTGGCCATGATGCACAGATGCCTATGCTGGGAGATGGGCCATAGAGGAAGCTTGGGGGCCCATTGCTCAGGGATGGGTCCAACCTCACAGAGGAGCCAAACCTCACCTCCTGGCCAGGCCTCAATGGGTGGCACACACTTGCCTGCTAGCAGTGAGGGGCCTGGTCCAGTCCTGATGTTGCCAACCAGGGGCCAGCCAGGTGGGATGGGCTGAGACCCCTAAAGCTCATTGCCCAAAATGGCCACCAGGCAGGGTTCGAGGGGAGGCACAAAGCTCCTGAGCCCTGAGCCATGGACTAAGTCTGCTGGCCCAGGGCTGAGAGGATGCCCAGAGCCCACACAAGCCATGCATGGGGAAACTGCTACATTGTGGGGGCCCTCAATCTGTCCTTTACCAGAGCTGTTCCTGAGTCCCCTCCCAGCCCCCTTCCCCAGTTTCAGTCTCCCCCACAGAAGTACATGCAATACTTGTCTGCCCTCCCCCATTTCTGCACTAGGTACTGCCCGGGGCATCGTCATATCAACTGGGGACCGCACAGTGATGGGCCGCATCGCCTCCCTGGCTTCCGGGCTGGAGGTAGGCCGCACCCCCATCGCCATGGAGATCGAGCACTTCATCCAGCTCATCACCGGTGTGGCCGTCTTCCTGGGCCTCTCCTTCTTCATCCTCTCCCTCATCCTCGGCTACACTTGGCTGGAGGCTGTCATCTTTCTCATCGGCATCATCGTGGCCAACGTCCCTGAGGGGCTCCTGGCAACTGTCACGGTAACGGAGTCTACTCGAGGAAGGTTCCTGTATAACCCACCCACCTAGTGTGGTTCACGGTCCCAGGTAGTGACACTTAGACCGCTTAGAGTGAGAGCTAAGAGCAAGGGAGCTCTGTAGCCTAAGCTAAGAGCCAGCTGGCTTGTAGCGCAAGCATAGCAGCTTCTCCACTAAGTTCCTGAGGTCTCATGTTCAAATCTACCCCGTGTGGGGCTCATTTGGGATTTCAACTGGGTCTCTGATGTGCAGGCTGTGCTTCCACAGCTAGAGGAAGTATGTAACCCGCACACCTAGGCTATGTCTACACTGGTAGGTTCTTGCACTAGAAATATGCAAATAAGGCTAAATGTAGAATATTGCTGAGCCTCATTTGCATACCTAATGAGCTGCCATTTTTACGGAAGAGGCTCTTGCACCAGAAGTAGCTGTCTAAACTGCCCCTTCTTGCGCAAGAAAAACCCTCTTGCACAATGCCCCTACGCTGATTATTTTCAGGAATAACGGCATTGCGCAAGAGGGTTTTTCTTGCGTAAGAAGGGGCAGTGTAGACCCTCCTTCTGGCACAAGAGCCTCTTCCGCAAAAATGGCGGCTCATTAGGTATGTAAATGAAGCTCAGCGATATTCCACGCTTAGCCTCATTTGCCAGTGTAGACATAGCCCTAGTGTGGTTCACTGTCCCATGTAGTAGCACTTACAGTGAGAGATAAGGGAACTCTACTGCCTAAGCTGAGAACTAGCTGTTTTTATAGCTCAAGCTGTAGAGGATCCTATACTAAGCTCCAGAGGTCCCAGGTTCAAATCTGCCCAGTGGCTGTTACACCTGCACTGCCCAAGAGTGGTAATGGGTGTACGGCATGGGCAGGGCTGGGTGCAAATCCTGGTCTACCCTGACTCCTCCCTCTCTGGCCCGCAGGTGTGTCTGACCCTCACAGCCAAGCGCATGGCACGCAAGAACTGCCTGGTGAAGAATCTGGAGGCAGTGGAGACGCTGGGCTCCACCTCCACCATCTGCTCCGACAAGACGGGCACCCTGACCCAGAACCGTATGACAGTTGCCCACATGTGGTTTGACAACCAGATCCACGAGGCTGATACCACTGAGGACCAGTCTGGTGAGGGGTGCAGCCCGTTATTTTTAATTACAGTGGCTTTTAGTGCTGGTCAGTACACGACGGAGGCGGCTGGTCTCAACGTCCGCAGAGGGATCTCTGCTTTTAGCTCTAGAGCTCATAGGGACACGACAGGCAAGTAACACAAAGTAACAAGTAACACAAACACAAGGGCAGGTCCACTCTCTTGTATCAGTTACTAGCAGACTTACCCAGCACTGCCTGGGTCCCTCAGGGCAGGTGGCTGGTGGTGTAGTGAGTGCAGGACTCAGGGCAGGGCCTTGGGGATGTGTGTGGGGAGCAATGCAGGAGGCTGGGAGAGTGAGGGTTGGGGGGTGAGGAGGGGCTCAGGACAGGAGGTCCTGGCATCTAGGAGCCTTTTTTCTCCCCCCAGACCCTTCCAGTCACCAGGAGCGTTTTTTCTCCCCTCAGTCTCCTGCAACAGCCAAGGGCCTTTTTTCTGCCCCCCTTAGGCGCTGCAGCCAAGGTCCAGGAGGAACAGGGTGAGGCTACTTACCCTGTGTCTTGGCAGGCAAGATGGCAGAGCCCCAACACTGCTGGCTACTCCCTTGGTGGTGTGGCTGCCCCTAGTGGACACGCTACATATAACTCTCCCCCGAGGGCTCACTGCCTCCAGCAGCCACTCTCATATTGTGTCCCTCTGAACAGCAGCCTCTCCCTTTGCATGTTATGGAAAACAGTCCTTTTCACAGGGCTTCTGGTTGTCCTGGCACAACCAAACCCTGACCTTGCTTTAAGTTAGGAGAAGAGGAAGCTGCCTACCGGATTTGGTGGTCCTAGCTCTAACAGTTTAGGAGCCGTTCTTGAAAAGTGCTCGCAGATGGATAGATGGACGCACTCTAAAATAGATCGAGAGATGCCAAAGTTCCCAACCCAGTTATGAATGTCCCAGCACACACAGCTCCTAGATATGGCCCCACACCTGTTCAAGCTACAGACATACTCACATCCTCCTCCAGCGTGAGGCAGACTATCTGCACCACCCGGACACCCCTAACTCATCATCTTGTATGTCCCCTGCCCAGCTGTCCTTGCCTCCTCCTGCATCTGCCTAACTCCGTTAGGGCGCCGTTTATGAGAGGCTGGGGGACAGTAGCCCTCTCCCGAGGTTGAACCCTCTGGATTTCATACTTGAAGTCTGCTTGAAGCCGCATGCCCTGACTCCAGAGCAGTTCTTAAATGCAACAGAGTTTGAGCTGCTTGCAGCTTTGCCTTTGTGGCACGGAGTTTGTTATAAACAGAGGGAGGCAGGGTGATTAAGAATAACAAAAGGCTGGTGGGCATTCCAGTAACTGAAGGATCCTTAGATCATCATGTAAACATTGCAGAGTACTCCACTTAAAAGGGGGGGGGAAGAGTAGGAATGAGTGTTATGCTGCAGGAATCTGCATTTGGATCACTGTTAAACATACAAATGTTCTTGAAAAAGGGGTGAACAGGGACTAATCCAAAGCTGACCGCAAAGAGCTACAAAGGCATTTCACAAAAAAAGTGGGTGATTGGGCAACACAAGGGCAAATGGAATTCCGTGTTGAGAAGTGCAAAGTAATGCCCATGGGAAAATATAATCCCAACTATAGATACAAAATAGCTGTTACCACTCAAGAAAGAGATCTTGGAATCATTGTGGATAGTTCCCTGAAAATATCTGTTCAATATGCAAAGGTAGTGCACTTCCATTCCAAAGCTGAGATAGAGCTAATAGAATATTGTGAATCATTAGGAAAGGAATAGAAAATAAGACAAAATATCATATTGCCTCTACATAAAGTCACTGTATGCCCACATCTTGAATACTGTATGCAGATCTGGTCACCCCCATCTAAAAAAAGATCTATTGGATTTAGAAAAGGTACAAAAAGGGCAACAGAAATGAGTAGGGGTAAGGAACAGCTTCCATAGGAGGAAAGATTAAGAAGACTTTTCAGCTTGGAAAATAAATGACTAAAGGATGGGGGATATGTTAGATGTCTAGAAAATCATGAATGGTGTGGAAAAATAGAATAAGGAAATGTTATTTATTCCTTCACTGACATAACACAAGAAGCTGACCCAATTATATTTATAGGCAGCAGATTTAAAACAAACAAAAATTATTTTTTCACAATCTACTTGTGGAACTCTTTGCCAGGAGAGATGGTGGAATAGCCCAAACTATAACAGGGTTCCAATAAGAACAAAATAAGTTCAAGGAGGACAGGTCCATCAAAGGCGACTAGCCAGAATGGGCAGAGATGGTGTCCCTAGCTTCTGTTTTCCAGAAGCTGGGAATGGGCGACAGGATGGATCATGATGATTGCCTGTTCTGTTTATTCCATCTGAAGCACCTGGCATTGGCCACTATTGGCTAGAAGGACCAGTGATCTGACCTAGTATGGCCTTTCTGATGTTTTTACAGAGAGCTGAAATGTATCTGCCCCCTTGTGTAACCCACTAGACCCCACTCCCCTTTCAAAGCTGAGATAGAGCCCACGAGTCCTGACGGGGTCGCTCTCTCGCCACAGAGTTAGTAGCAAAGTAAGACTATACATTTCAAGGCTAACCAGTGTCCCCTAAAGTGACTTGCCACAAGATGTCAGAATATGTGTTAGAGCTGAGTGGGTCTAATATGTATTTAATTTTCTTTCTTTTGTATAGGAATTAGATTCAGTGTTCTTGTCAGCTATCTGTTAAGTTATCTGCCAAAAAAAGAGTTTTCCAGTACCTTGGTAGCTCCTGGATAGAGATAATGCGTGTGGCGGGAGGGTGGATGGGGTTGGTTCCCCCCCTCCCCATTTAGTGCTTGGCTTGTATTGAGCATGCTCAGTAACACTGCTAAAGCCTCTGTCCTCAGTCCTCCCCCATGATTTCACTCTCTTCCCTCTCTCCCCCATCATGGCATGCACGGGTCAGTGCTCCCTACCAATATCTGAATTGGTGCCCCTGTAGGAGACCTGAAGCAAGCTGCAGATGGGGGTGCTGTAGGGAGCAGGGGAGGAGCACTGACTGTGGAGGGAGCACCTGGCTACTACAGTTCCAGCCTCTGCCAGCAGGAGGCACTGTGGGGGCAGGAGCATTGGCTGTGGGGGGAGCTCCTGGCTGTTCTATCCCAGCAGGGGGCACTGTGGGGGCAGGAGCATTGGCTGTGGGGGGAGCTCCCGGCTGTTCTATCCCAGCAGAGGGCACTGCAGATGCAATGCTGCAGCCAGGCAGTGGGGCTCTGCTCCAGCCCCATGGCTGAGTTTGGTGTGAGGTCATGTGGCTGACTGGCATGTCTCCTTCCAGGTGCAACATTTGACAAGCGCTCACCCACCTGGGCGGCCCTGGCCCGCATCGCCGGCCTGTGCAACCGAGCTGTCTTCAAGCCAGGCCAAGAGAACGTCTGCATCTCCAAGGCAGGCTGCGTTCCCTCCCCACCCCTCAGACTCCCTGCAGTGAAATGGGCCCAGATGTGGTGTGCACCAGACTCACTGGGGAATATGGGCTCTGCAGGGCACCCCCCCACACACACACCATCATTCCCACGTTCTGATCCTCACCCAAGGCCCCATGTGAGCACGAGGAGGGCGCTGTGAGGAGCTGGGCATCACTGATGGCTGCAGACAGACGGGCTCAGGTTTCCTGGGGTCCTGGATGGCCCATAGCCTTTTCAAGGCCTCCAGAGCTCTGCCTTCCTGGACCCCCACCAGAGAGCTGGGCCTCGAGCACACAGTCCTGTGCAGCTCCCCCTCAGCTACAGGCCCAGCCTGGGGACCAAGCAGGGCCGACTTATCCATTAGGCACAGTAGGCACAGTGCCTAGGGCCCACGAAAATGTTTTAATTTCTTTTAAAAGCAGCAGAAGAAAAATGAACTTTTAGGGTCGAAGAAAATGTTTTAATTTTTTTCTCACATCAGAAAAAAATGAAAATTAGGGCCCAAGAAAATCTATTCAATTTTGCCTAAAACAGAAAAAAAACGTTGAAGTATTTAAAGTTATATCAAAAATAATTTTTAATATTGATATTATTGTGGTGGGAGGGGCCCACGAAGGCAAAAGTGCCTAGGGCCCTCGAAAGTCATAATTCACTCCTTGGGCAGGATACCAGAGCCAGCGGCTGTTCAGTCTGACCCACAGCTCCTGGCTGGGCTGTCAGCAAAGCCCAGCGAGCCCCATAAGCACTCAGCCACTTTGCCAGGCTGAAGCAATGCCCAGGGAGCCTCAGATCCCGTCTGCCAGATGGGAGCAGTGACCAGTTAGACTGATAATCCCATCTTTGCCTTAGCAGGGCAGAGCTCTGGCCCGTGTCCCCCCATGTCTCTGGCTCTGCCACCCGGAATCAGAGCCTTGTACCCAACCAGTCCATTATCCCCCTGCTATGTTGGTTCAGCCCAATTAAGATCAGTGTCCCCAGCATCCAGAGCACTGGCCTCATGGATTAGGTCTCCTGCAGCGTCCAAGACCCCATATTTTAGACCTAAGGTCCCCAAACTTTCTCATAGTGTGGTACATGCTACACCTCCCTTCCCATTAGCCAGGGCCACAAGCCCACAGCTGCATCCCTCCTTCCTATTGGCCATCACCCAGCCACTCCTCCCCGCTCATTGGCCAGGAACCCACTATCCTGGCCATGCCTCCACCCTCATTGGCCATCACCTTGCCCTTCCTCTGCAGCCACTGGTCACAGCCTGGTCTCCTCTTCCATTGGTTATGGACACAGACTGCCCTGGTCCAAGTCACAACACTCCCTCCCATTGGCCAGGGCCTCACTACCCCACCCGTCCCATTGGCCAGGGCCTCGCTATCCCACTGCACCTATTGGCCATGGTCATGACTGCTCTTCCATTGGCCAGGGCCCACTACCCCACCCCTCCCACTGGCAAAGACTTCACTACCCCACTCCTCCCATTGACCAAGAGTTCACTATCCCACCCCTCCCATTGGCCAAGACTTCACTATCCCACCCCTCCCATTGGCCAGGGCTTCACTATTCCACCCCTCCCATTGGCCAGAGCCTCGCTATCCCACCACACCCCTTGCCCCCCCCCCCCAGCCACACCTCCCTCCAATTAGCCATGGACCCACTACCCCACCCCATCCATTGGCCTTGGCCCCAGCTGCACCTCCCCTCTTTTCCATTCACCAGTCTGCCCATCAGTGCCCCGCTGGGCTTCCCTCACCCCACACTGACAGCCCCCCTCCCCTTGCCAGCGGGACACGGCGGGCGATGCCTCCGAGTCGGCCTTGCTCAAGTGCATCCAGCTTTCCTGCGGCTCCGTCAAGAAGATGCGGGACAAGAACCCCAAAGTGACAGAGATCCCCTTCAACTCCACCAACAAGTACCAGGTGGGCTGGGCTGGGCTGGGCTGGGGTATGGGCCCAGGCTGGGGTTAGGGCTCAGAATGGGCACCAGCTGGGCTGATAGGGGCATAGACCTGGAGCAGATGTGGGGCTGTCCAGTCAGTCTGCAGTTGCGAGGGAACCTGGATGTGGCTTGTGTTGGCATTGGGGATAAGCATGGGGGGGAACGCAATGGGCTTAAGGGAAAGTCGTGGCCTCTGGGAAAAGCTGCACAGTGGGGCGCTGGCCTCTGGGCTCCTGTCCCCACAATATCCCCAGCCCCCTTTGCTCTGGCCTCTGGGCTCCTGGCCCCACAGCATCCATAGCGGCCTAGGCTGATCTTGACTCTTGCAAATAATCCGTCAGAACATTCAATTCCCATGGATAACAGTTGGGCATAGACAGGAAGTTCCCGCCCATCCAGTGACTGGCTCCCACCCAGGAGCTGGAGGGAGCCAGGCCTGCCCAGGCTGTGTGTGCAGAGAAAGCTACCCGGGACTGAGGGTGGGGAGGAGGGATCAGGAGAGGCCCTGGGAGGGGAGCAGGCAGAGAGCAGGTGAAAAGATGGGAGGAGTTGGGGAGACAGGAAGGCGCTGGGGCGGGGGGGGGCTTGGCCCCTAGCAGGGTGCAGCGCTGGAGCAAAGCAATCAGCGTCCTTCCAGGGTGGCTCCCCCAGCCCAGTGTTTCTCAACCTTTTTTCATAAAGTGCCCCTTTAAAAAAAATTATAAGTACCCCCCAGTACCTACAGTTTTCAGACACCATTTTTTTTCTACCATGGCAACACATTTGTTTAAACAACTTAATCGTGGGTGGGCGATGAAATTTTTGGGTGTAAAAAGTACCAAAATAATCAAGCGCTGTAAAATTTAAAACAAAAATTCAGTTTTCTCCAAATTTCAGTTGTGTCGACGTACCCCCCAGACTTCTGTCGAGTACCCCTCAGGATACACGTACCACTGGGTGAGGGACACTGGCCTAGCCCACTCCCCCTTCCGTTTCAGCTCTCCATCCACGAGCGTGAGGACAACCCCGAGGGCTACATGCTGGTGATGAAGGGCGCCCCGGAGCGCATCCTGGACCGCTGCTCCACCATCCTGGCGCAGGGCCAGGAGCTGCCCCTGGAGGAGGAGAC